CTTGAAAGCAGCTGCTACAGAGAGCAAATATATTCAGCAAATTAGGGCTAAAATGCTAAATTTCGGGGCTGCCCCCTCAGCCCTGAAGTGCCTGGTTTTGTGTGGTGGCTGCACACACACACAGAGCTGGACCTGCCATCCCTCAGATCCTTGGGATTTGGGAGCAGACGTTCCTCAGCACTGGTTTGGGCGAGCAGGAGTGTCAGCCTGGGCTCTGCCACCTCCCTTTGTCCAAGGAGGGGGAGGATTTTTATTTCATTTCTCCCTTTTTGTTACTCCGAGATCCCAAATTCCTGTTGCCACGTTGTTGCCCCCGTGGTGCCCGTCACCTCCAGCCCGAGATAAAACCCCAAGGCCCCGAGGTCGTGCCCAGACTTGGTCAGATTCTTCCAAAATTCAGCCACATTCCACCCCCTGGAATCAGAAACGTGCCAGGACCAGGGAGAGAGGGATGGGAAGGAGGGGAGGCTTTTGGGATCAGTCCCTTGTGCAGCCAGTTGTGGTACAGTGCACTGATCTCCCAAAACACCCAGAATCCCTCCTGGAATCCCCCCAGATTTGGGATTTATCCCACTGGGCAACAGCAGGAGACACACAGGGGGTCAGTGAGAGGCACTTATTGAGTGAGGAGGCTGAGAGGTGCTGGCTGGGGCTCTGCACCACTCCTGGGAGGATATTTGGGAACCCAGGCGTTGGAAGAGGTTGGAAATCAAGGAATTGGGTGTTTGTTTTTTTTTTTAGGCAGACTCACTGTTAAATCAGGGAGGGCTGAGCTGTGCAGCATCCCTCACCCCTGCTCAGTGGTGGCAGCAATTGGAATATGATCCCCCCCAATTGGAATATGTTCCTGGGACAGGGTGGGATGAGTTGGGAGAAGGCGAGGGGGATAAGAGACATAAAGCACTTACACACATCTCTCCAGCACCTTCCAAAGGCTCCCAATCCCTGGGAACTGTCACCTCAACCTGTCCCAGAGCCAAAAGTCCCTTTGGCAGCTTGAGGGGAGAGGGGAGGGGAGAAGGGGGGCACTGCTGGAAGGTCGCCAGTTGTATCCCTGTGGAAAAAAAAAAGAGGGAGAGAAGGAGAAAGGAAAAAGAAAAGCTAAAGATTATCTGTGTTTCAGTTGCACTGGGGTACGTTTCTTTACCCGTTTTGATGCTGATGTCTCATTTAGTATGTTGCATGTGTCTTTTTTTTTGGATTTGTTTTTGGGGTTTTTTTAATTAAATAAAAGAGAAAAATGTGTATATTTTTGGCAATTTAAGGTAATGTAGCTAAGATATATTTTTTTCACGCTGCTTGACTGTTCTTTATTATAATAAATAATATTAATATTAATATCAAAGAGTTTTTTAATGCAAAAAGGGGCAAATTTAAGGAAAATAGAGGCTGTGGGATGAATTCCCTGAAAGGTGCTGGGTGCTGCTTTCCATAGGGAAAGTGTGGCAGCATCGGGAGCAAGGGATGCTCTCGGGATGCAGGAGTGGGATCCCCGGGAGGGTTCACTTTGGGAATGAGAGGAGACCAGGGCGAGGGAGGAGCAGTTGATGGAAAGGTTTCCTCCCCAAAAAACCAGGGATAACCCACAGTGAGGGCCCAAAACCACTCGCTGACCTCACGAGCATCCAGCAGCTCCCCAGTCCTCCCCTCTCCCAAGGGTTTGTTCCTTGGAAGCACCAAAGCCAAGGTGCCCCCCGTTCTCCCGGGGGAAGCTGAGGCACGGGGAGGGCTCGGGAGCCGGGGATCCTGATCCTTCTTGCCCGGGAAAGGGACCGGGATCAGGACCGGGGATCGGGATCGGGGGCTGGGTTTGGGCACCGACACCGCGTAAAAAGGATCGGGCACCGGGAGCGGGCACCGGGACCG